CTCTTCGAGGCAGTCCGAAAGTCTTTTTCCATAGCCTCTCCAAACTCCTCCCACACCCGAGTTTTTGCTTCAGCCACTGCCCAAGCCACATTTCGCTTGGCCTGTCGATACCTGTCGGCTGCCTCCAGAGTCCCACAGGGTAACCAAGCCCGATAGGACTCCTTCAGCCTGGTGTCCACCATTTGGTTCGGAGATTACCACCACAGCAGGCACCAACCACCTTGCGGACGCAGCTCAATGCAGCAGCTTCGGCAATGGAGACGCTGAACATAGTCCATTCGGACTCAATGTCCCCAGTCTCCCTCGGAATGCTGTTGAAGCTCTGCCGGAGGTGTGCGTTGAAGATCTTGCCGACTGGGGCCTCTGCTAGACGTCCCCAGCACACCCTCACTACGCGTTTAGGTGCACCGGGTCTGTCCAGCATCCTCTCCCGCCGCCTGATCCAACTCACCACCAGGTGGTGATCAGTTGACAGCTCAGCCCCTCTCTTTACCTGAGTGTCTAGAACATATGCTCACAGGTCTGGTGATACGATTACAAAATCGATCATCGACCTGCGGCCTAGAGCGTCCTGGTGCCACGTGCACTTATGGACACTCTTATGTTCGAACAAGGTGTTCGTTATGGCTAAACTGTGATTTGCACAGAAGTCCAATAACAAAACACTGCTCAGGTTCAGATCAGGGAGGCCGTTCCTCCCAATCACGCCCCTCCGGGTCTCACTGTCGTTACCCACGTGAGCATTGAAGTCTCCCAACAGGACAACAGAGTCTCCAGGTGGAGCACTTTCCAGCACCCCACCCAGGGACTCTAAGAAGGCTGGGTACTCTGATCCGCCACTCGGCGCATAAGCGCAGATGACAGTCAGGACCCGTTCCCCGACTCAAAGGCGCAGGGAACAAACCCTCTCATCCACCGGGAAAAACCCCAACGTACCGCCAGCAAGCCGAGGGGATATTAGAATACCCAGCCCAGCCCGCCGCCTCTCACCAGGGGCAACTCCAGACTGAGACAGAGTCCAGCCCCTCTCCAGGAGACTGGTTCCAGAGCCCAAGATAATGCGTAGAGGTGAGCCCGACAATATCTAGCTGGTACCTCTCAACCTCACGCACTAACTCAGGCTCCTTCCTGGGGGCAAAAGCACCCAGACAACATATCCGCTGGGATACACAAACCCCTCCACCACGATAAGGTAGCGATTCACGGACAGAGCTGATTTAAATGGCAGCTACCACCTCAAGATGTCTTTCTCCGGAGTTCTCCGAAGTTCTCCGGAGGCCTGGTAATGAACTAATCATTTGATTCAGGTGTGCTGACCCAGGGTGATATCTAAAACCTGCAGGACTCCTGCTTTAAAGGGTATAACTCAAATTGATGTTCATTTTCTTTAAAGCTAAAGAAATACTGCTAAAACAATAACAAATCCATAGACTGTACAACTTAACATTTTCAATGATTTGGAAAGAAAAATATTTGGGAAACAAGAGAAAAGTGTGAAAACTAAAGTGCTTATTATTTTATCCATATTAAGTACATAAAGCTTAACTATACCAACTCACGGGGTTGTAAGTTTGCTATATAGAAACTATACAGAAAGTGTGTGCCAGGAAAGTGAACATAATGTTCATCAGTCCATAAAAAATAGTCTTACTCACGTTAGTGTGCGGATGCATTTGGCCGAGTCCCGAATGTCCCAGACTTTGATGTAGGAGGTAGAGACGGTAAAGACCAAACTGGAGCTATAACGGACTGACACAACATTGTTGGGGTGACCCGCTAGAGACATTATCTCCTGACCCGTCACCAGATTCCACACCTTACAGGTCCGGTCTGCAAATTAAAACACCATCTTGTCATTTTCACCGTGATTTATGACAATATTAAAATACAGAGAACATTTCTGAGAACGGGATGTCAAAACTGAAGAGCGCCACAACAAAACTGATTGGATAAAATTTATCACGGTGCAAGGGATACAAAACAAAATCCATTTTAACTGACAGCAAAACTAAACAGAGCTGGACAGCACCTTCTTGCACTTGGAATGCACAATTAATCCTGCTGGGATAAATTGGCACTCTAGCCGATTTCCTGCACATTAAAATCCATTTGTTATGCTTAAAAGCTCCATCACCATAACAATGTTGTGGCTTGGACAATGTCATTTATGTTCCATCACCTCATTTATCCACCATATGACAATCCTAATTAATCCTTATTGGCTTTTATATGTGGTGTTATGCTGTTATATAATAACACAACACCATGTCCAAGTGTAATAAATTACCATAGCTGTAACAAGAAGGCATCTGAAGAATACTGATTAGAGGTGTAAGATTAGAGTCAGGAGGTGAAAGAAGGAAGGAAGGAGGGAGGATTGTGAGCATTAACCTTTGGATCCTGTGAACAGCAGGTCGTCAGTGCAGTCAACACATAAAACAGCTTTACTGTGTCCCTCCGCCACATGAACACACTGTAATGTCGACGACCGGCTGCTCTTGGTGGGTGGGACCGGGTTAATGACGCCCCTGGAAAACAAACAAACCACCATCATAAAGGGCAGCATCACACATGGCAAAGTAAAAAAAGAAGAAAAAAAAACTCCAAATTCACACAACAGACTCATGCAGCTCTCTCAGTGATGCAAACCAAAAATAGAAAGAGATGAAAATAAGAGAAAAATTATGAGACAGCTGTGAAAGGAGTCACCCTTGTGTTGAAAGAAAGGAAAGACAACCCAAGAACCTATAAATAATCGAGATGATTTCTTTTGCAGCCTATAATTGATTGAAACACCCAAAGAGCCGAAGACAGGTGATCACTGGAAACCCGTGGAGTCTTCTTATCGGGGACTGAGAATTCTGCAGCATCTCAGTAAGCCTGGTTGATCACTAATTGGCTGGCTGTGATAGTGTAATTGTAAAATTTCATAACCAGCGAATCTGCAGCATGAGCTATCCAAACGGTGACACTTATCATTAGTAGGTTTTTGTTCTTCAGGCTTGAAGCCTGAAAAACTTCACAGATGTGAGAAAAAAAACAATGACAGGAGAGGACTGCAGAGGGTTCAGGTTCAATACCAACAATGCACTAAACACAGTGACGCTGTTTGGCTTTGTTCCAATTATCTTATGGTCTTGGAGAAGACACCCATTCATTGATTTTAATCATGTTTTAACATGTTTGGGGAAGAAAACAGATGGATAGGTATGGCAAATCAGCAACAGCCCAAAAATAAAGTATTCATGCTTGTTTGAAATCAGAGAGTGGAGCAAAGCTACTGTAGGAGGAAGCTGAAGGACAGGTGCAGGCATCCCTGAGGGGATGATATTCTGATATTCCTGGGGGCTGATTAGCTGCTGATTATAAAACTAACTGCTTCCTATTCCTGAGTTGTTATCTGCAGTGCAGCCTCGAGAAGAGCTAATTGTAGTGTGAGCGTGTACCCATGAATAAAAAGGCATTTTAAAAACATAACACATGGGAGGAATACATTTTAGTGTAATATACTGAGCATCTATATTTTCCATACCCATCAATTACTTCTACCTTCCATAAAGCGATTGGAATTATACAGATTTTTACCAAAGCGATTTAGTAATAGTTTTCCAAAGCTTTTACTTCCAAATCTGATAAATTATGTCTTCACATACATAATGACGTTGCACACACACTGAGAATGTACTTTCCATTAAGCAGAGTGTAGCAGCTAATATAACATGACTATGGATTGTGGATGGAGAAGTAGGAGTGCCTTTTAGAATTTGTAAGCGCTTTATTAGTTTGTTAGAGGAGCTGCAACTTTGATTAATAAGTGTGACAACTGTGGCTGAAAGGCCTCTTCTCTGCCTCATCTCAGCTAACTGAAGTCACTGAAGTGGATCTCTCCAGTTCAGAGGAATCAGATGACAAACATTTTCTGTTTGCTATCGATATGGTCTAAGGAGCTTGTGCATTTTGAGTCCTCGACCTGAGTGTTTCCATCACAGCCATCTTGGTTGAAAAAAGCTTGATGTGATGAGGTGGTGCAGTTC